TTTTAGAAACTTTACGTTATTTGGCAGGGGAAGAAGAATAAAAAGAAACAAAAAAGCAGATAGAAAGCCCATTATTGAACTTGATCTTCGCCTGTTATGTTCCTATCCAAAACAACAATTAACAACCGGCCGCATTTTTTTTTCAAATTAATTAAGAGAATTTGACAAAAGAAGATCTTGTGACAGGGCAATTTTACTTTGTTGAGCAAAGTACTCTTCTTTCTATATCACGACTTTAAACTGAATGAAAAAGGTTATACGGTTTACGCTGGTAGCATGGTGACGAACTTGAGTGAAACAATATCATGGCGAGGGGGTAAAATTATCATTTTTGCCCATTAAACCTATACAACCACTGTTAAACATTGTTCTGTTTTACGATGGAGAATGTGCAACGATATATTTGACGATTTAACCCTATCTAGACCGGGCTTTTTGAGCAAGATTTGACCGGGGGGGGGGCTCTTTCGGCCCCCCTCAGAACTCGCTAACGGTATGACGTATGGCTACCAAATTTTCAGAGGATGGTGTACTAGTTAAAATTTATCATATCTACAATTTTGATGTCATTATGACGTAATATGACGTCATTATGACGTCATTAATGGGATTTTATTGGCCAAAACCGTCTAGATAGGCTATTCCCTGAAAACTAAATGGTATTCAGCATAACTTTACCAAAAGTGTTTATGACAGAATATTAGAGTGTACTAAGTCTTATGTTGCCCATAGCAACACCGGTGACGTCATAAAATGACGTCATACATATTTAAGATATCCGCCATCTTGGATCATCAATGTTGAATTTTCAAAAATAGTTTTTTTTCGTGATAAAGCCTAAAATACATTGTAAACATACCAAAGACCTTCATTTAAACCTTTTTTTGAAAAAGAAATGGAAGTATTGATGAAATTTTAAGGAAAATAACTTGTATATACCTGTTCTAATGATATGGACCGCCATCTTGGATTTTGGCCAATGGCGTCATCAAATTAGCATAAATTATGCATATTTAATGATAAAAATTTACATAAATTCATATGGGATGTTATTAATATTAGAAACCATGAGTAACTTGACATAAAACCCATAAAATTCTATTCTTGAAACAAAAATTACTAAATTTAGCAAAAAATGCCTGTCAGAAACCCGTTGCCATGGCAACACAAAAAATTATTATCTTATTCCAATGATAGAAAATTGTTGCCAACAATATTTTAGGAAAAGTCACCAAGTTTGGTCATTCTAGCCCTAGCCATTCAGACGCTATGTGACATCAAAGTTGGCGCGGGCACTTTTAGCCCCCCCCCCCGGTCTAGATAGGGTTAATCATTCTACCATGTGGCACAAATGAGAAGACGCGCGATTTTGGGCGTATCTATACGGAACCACCCAAGGCGGTTTACATGTGGTTTACCCCGAAGCCGGTTTCAAGTGGCTCCATCTGAACGCTCCGAAATCACATTGAAAGCGCCTCGATCCCAAGCCACTTCTAGGTGGTTCGAATCGCTTTCCCCGCATCGCGATTTGCGTCTGGACGCAATGTGATTTCAATGTGACTTCGCCTGGTCATGGATTACGGAGTGATATTTCTTTTTTTATATGCAATACCAACTTTTACGTGGCAGCATTAAAGAGCAGTAATGGTCAAATAATGTGTCCGTTGTATGGCGAGCTTCACCGCCTCTGGCGGGACCACGTCGGCATTCGGCCGAGATACGCTGGGAGGGGGGCATCAGCAAGCAGGTCGTGGACCTCTGACATTAATAACACGCCGCCTTGCGTGTTATCACCAAACAGCAATAAATGTAGCTCAAGCGTATTGTGTTCGGACACGGTTTCACAGGTGTGTGTGGCACGTGGACCAGATGTGAGGAATGTGAGTTACCCGAATCGCGTCTTGGGTGGTTCCGTATAGACACGGCCTTTGACGTCAATTATTTTAATTGCTACCCCCTTCTGTAATGGAATGTCCCGCCTTTGTTTATTACCTTCGCCAAGAAGGTTATGTTTTCAGTAACGTTTGTTTGTCTGTTTGTGGACAGCATAACTCAAGAAGCTTAATATGGATTGTCATGAAACTTGGTATGTGGGTAGGTCTTGATGAGACCTAGAAATGATTAGATTTTGGGCCCCCTGGCGGCTTTCGTTGGTACTGCAGCCGAACTTCCGGTTTTGATATCTTGCGATCTAGACATGCTAGGGTCACGAATTTTGGTTGGTAGATAGCTCTTGGGGTAGGAAAGATGTGACCTGAGTTTAGACCCCCTAGCAGCTTGTTCTGGAACTGCAGGAGCGTTTCTTTAAAAAATCTCCAAAGGTTGATAACTCAAGAACCGGTTGACGGATTGTCATGATTTTTAGTATTTAGGTAGCTGAAGTGATGCTTGACGTAATCAGATCACAATTATGCAAATCACCAGCTAATTTGCATAATTAATGAGGAAATTCTATAAATCTGCTTCGTTCGATGATAGGGCTATGAAACACTTGTGACATGTAATTGAGAACTAGAAAAACATCTGAGGATATAGATTATGTAAATGAGGACCTAATTTGCATAATGAATGGGAAATTGTTATGATTTCATAGTTGTAATTGCTGGGAATTTCAAACTTGCCGCATTTGGAAGTTAAGTGAAGGTGAACATCAATGAAGATAATTTATTCATATTATGACCTCATTTGCATAATTTATGAGGAAGTGCTAGAATGGCCTATTTTGTTAAGATAAGGCTGCCATTCGGTGGACAATATGATCAACTGATGTAATCCATGCAAATGACGCTCTTATTTGCGAAATCAATTATTAAAATTGTATAATTCGTCAACCGCAAGGGTTAACATCATTTGGCGAAGGTATGAAATCGTAGAACTCTTGTTGCACATTGAACCGTGGAAACTTCACGCTGCAGTTTTCAAGCTACACCCGGAAGTAAACTATTTGGACTTTTGTTCTCGTCGTTCAAGACATTCTTGAGCCACAAACTGAGGGAAATCTTGGCCGTATCTTCGACCCTAACGTCTCAAGAGTTCAGGTGAGTCACAGACCGCTCTGTTGTTTTATAAATAGTCTATTTGGAACGTTTGTTTGTAGACTTGTCAAGATTCGAACATGGTGGTCTTCTGAGAAGCCAGACTGTCTCGGCGACCCATGTCTTCCTGTTAACGTTTATGTATGGTTTAAGTACTGTTTCCTGTCAGCTTTTTGTTGCAGATAAGTCCTACAGAGATCCCAAAACCTCTCCCTATCGACATGTACAAGTCTTGAGGGGGGTCGGCCCTATGTTACGACAGCCCTATGTTTACGACAGCCCTATGTTACGACAGCCCTATGTTACGACAGCCCTATGTTACGACAGCCTTATGTTTTGACGCCCCTTTTTTCAACGCGATTATGGCTATGTTCAGACGCCAAATGATAAATTGTAAATTTATTGAGTGTAATGATCTCGAAGGAAATTTTCACGTAATATATTGTCACTGAAAGAAAAAAACATCAATACTTTTCTTGTAGGATGGTTAGTTTTATGGGAATATTTCAACTTTACGCTCTAACTTAATTGACCTTTTAAATTAGGTATCATTAACACCCAGCCCGAGTCTAAAACATAAACAAAAATAAACAAACAACGCAGATCTAGTCGGGTAGGTAGGGTTCTCCATTGCTCGGTAATCGTTATAGATAAGCAAATAGTTTCGTATTTGCCGAAACACCCGTGGATTGTAGTATTTTCAGGCCTGGTAAAGTTGGTCGGCCAGCGTTCTTGGTATTAGTCCGCGGGCAAGGGTGATGCGGTTTTGTCGCCTGATGACCCAAATAGCTTCGTTCTATATATAATTTCAATGGATTTGCGTCACCGGAGATTGCGGAAAACTTATCACAACAACCTATACTTTCGTTTTTGTAAGTCGTTACCCAGAGAAACTTCGTTCAATCAGGACGCCGTCCCTGCCTGTCCGACACCGTCCCAGCCCGGCCTTAGGCTCGCGAGATTTGACAAAAAGCTCGAGATTTTTAGGCTAAATCTTGAGCTCTTTCAATTGTCAACGAGGCATAAAGTAAAAGTTTTTCTATTAGAGTTTAGAGTTTCCATTCCCTGTTCCTGCGTTACATAACATAAGGCTGTCGTAACATAGGGCTGTCGTAACATAGGGCTGTCGTAACATAGGGCTGTCGTAACATAGGGCTGTCGTAACATAGGGCTGTCGTAACATAGGGCTGTCGTAACATAGGGCTGTCGTAACATAGGGCTGTCGTAACATAGGGTATGAACCTCTTGAGGTACAGTGACTTTGTAAAATGCAGTTCTAGCTCGTACAAGGAAGTACTGGTGACATTTAGAAGTATCTAACTGTCATGAATAACAACGTACATTTTGTACAGTGCATTGGCACATTAACACACTGTTAGTTCACTGCGTCACTTTTTAATGTAACTTGTGTGTTACACAAGAGCGGAGGGAGATGTATTTCTGTTCGTTGTCAAGCTTTCTGTGTGTGTGTGATTGTGTTGATGGGATTTAGTTTCTTGGGGGGGGGCAGTGATGAAGTAAACTGGATTATTTATTCATAGCGACAGGGAAGCAGGATACGGAAGGCACACGTCACGAAGAAGTAAGAAGTCTTAAACAGTTGTACGAAAGAAACAACAAATAATTCAAAAGTAGAAGAACACGATAAGAAAGTCAGAAATGTAGTCTATATTACGTATTAACCCTGTATGGGTTGTACTGATAAGAGTACGTGGTTACCTCACGGGAAAGAAAGTCACACTTCCGTTACTGATAGTAATCTATAGTTCGGTCACAGTTTTTAGTGGAAACGACAAGGATATCCATGTTTAAAATGAACATTTGTTTTTCTCTGCTTTTTACTCCACCAACTTTTAAGATAAGTTACTGAAAACCAAGCCTAATAGATGCCAACAGTAACCAATACAATCTTGCATTCATCGTTGGCATCAGGGGGGGCTGGACGGGTGTCACGTGACGGGTTTCCCCAATCAGGTGGCTTGGTTTTGTCCAACCTTCCTTTAGGCGCGCTATTTGTATTGCTCCAGAATTTTATATTTTCTGAAGAATCGATACTATTTTTGACGACGTAATTTCAACCAAACTGACGCAGAGGGATACATCCGTCGCTGGAAGGAGTTTCCTGTGCCCAGGTAGGTCTGAACATGCCGATTTTCACGATGTAATATGTGCGACTCTGTGGTTGCTTATAGCGAACTTTTAAAATTTAGCCATTTTTCATAGTTTTCATGAGTCTAGTTTTCATTTTTCCCGAGTGGTCCGTCCCCCAATTTGGTCTCATCGTAAAGTCCGTGTCTTCAACTTACCAAAACTTGGTTTGAACCACATCGAACCACTTACGGTTAAGCCGCTAGCAGCGGTTAAACTTGACATGATAGGCCGGGCCGGCCGATAAATCCAACATGGCGGCGTGGGTTCGTGGCACTCGTGTCATGTTTTGCATATATGGATGTTTCGAGTTTTTCTTCTTTACTGTTCGGTTCAGTAGGTACAGAAAACGCTAGAACTCGATTCTGGTGAAAAGGGGACTATATAAAGACTTTTTTTTTTCAACATTGTCCTAATGCAACTGAAAAATTTACGTGTGTGTATTTGACACCAGAGGGGGAGGGGGGTACGAACTTGTACGTACACACGCCAGTACACACGCTTTTAGTGGTTTGGTTCTAGTGGTTTTACCCTGGGTAGGATTCCTTAACCAGTGTTTTATCTAGTTTTGTATAGAACTTAAACTCGTACACAACATTTGTGATTAATGTTATATTTGTGTATGTGCGCGCGTGTATGTGTAAAGTAACTAACGGGCACATCAAACTTGTGAGAACGGGGATACATGTAGTTGGCCATTCTTCCTTGAAACTTAGACACAAGACATACTCAAGAAGGGTATTAAATTATACTGCAAGCTGCACCTTGCTAAATTATTCCTGTCCTTGTCATTATTAATACTACAATACCAAGCCATTTCATGAATAGTTTATGAATAATTTATGTTTCATGTTGTCACTTGTTTGTGTAAAAGGCTGGCTTCTTCAAATTCAAATTCAATTGTGTGGTTGTGGTATTTTTTTTTTTGCATGTGTGTGGCTAGTACTATGAAGGGATTTGTGAAACACTGATGCTACTAAACTGACCCAGTATTTTTTTTCTATTTTTTTTGCCAGACAATTGTTGTTCATAACAAGGGCAATAGTAACATTATTTGCTTTTTCATATGTGTCATACACTTGTAAATTTGTCTGAGGTTTAACAGACCAAATTTTCTTCTTCCATGCTAGTTTGAAGAATGTCAAGAAGGGTGTATCAGCCTAGTGGGTTGACACCACACCCAAGTCCTAAGAAGAGGCGATGGACTGGGCAACGCACTGGTGGAAGAACACCCTGTCAGACATTGATGGATCCAGGAAGTCTTGCAGCTAATCTTTCTGTGAGTGTCTCAGCCTCTTTAATATTGTGGTTGCAATTGTATCATGCTCCAAATTTGTCTGCAATATTACATCCAACATGAGAAAAGGGATACATGAACACACCAATTCACTTCAGTATATTTACATTTTATTTTACTTGGTTGGTACTAACTTCCCCTGCTCATTTCTAGTTTCATGACACTGGACACAAGAAGCCCCTTGGTTGGGATGAAGCTGAAGTTGCGGCTCTTGTAGAGTATGTGGCACTTCATCACACAGTTCTTGAGGGAAAGGACTGGCCGTCCACACATGATGACACATTCTGGGGAAAGTGTGCAGAGTTTGTGGCCAACAAAACGGGGAAAGCTGAGAGAACATGTAAGTTTACTTTCTTCTGAGCATTCATTTGCGTGCATTAAAACAGTTATATTATAATTCAGTGAACTTTTAGTGTCCTTTACATTCTGTAAGTGTTAAACATGGATATTAAGAGCTCTTTCACCTTTCAATGTGCATTATTGAACCAGAAACACAATTATGTACCCCCACACTTTTTACTTGTACAAATGTATATTTACATATTTGGACTTATTTCCACCATTAGAAGGTATTGTGTGTGCATCTTTTCTGTGGTTATCTATGCAAGCTTACGAAACTCATAGGAGAATTTTTTTCTCATTACAAAATATCTACTTCTGTTCCTACAGCCACCGCATGCAGGTCAAACATGAACCGACTGAAGAAGAAGCACCCTACACTCCACGAGGCAGAAGAACTCTACAACATCAGATACACCGACCTAGGGCAGAAAGAAAACCAGCCAGCTGCAACCACCACCACTTCCAAATCACCAGCCACCTCGCTAGCAGAAATCCAGTCTGAGTTCCACAACCTCACTCCAGCACAGCAATGGGATTGCCTAGACAACTTGTTTCGCCACAAGTTGGAGGCGATGAAACCGTCCCTTCCTGTTTTCGTGCCACGTGACTTTCTAAAGCTGTCGGCTGCTGCCATGAACACTCTCAATACCAACAAGAGAGAGAACACACTATTCCATCTGGCCAGCGCACTAGGCACGCCGAGAGAGGATGGCAGTGGCCCCCGGATGCCAGTGGATAGGATGCCATTCCCCATGATTGAGTACAACGCGAAGTTTTTCCACGTAGACCATCCCGACTTAGTAAGATGTCCAAGCGAGTATTCAACGTACATGGAGACTATGTATGCACACTTCGGCAAGAAATGGGCAAACCTGCACTGTGGTCCAAGGTGGCTTGGTGGGACAGAAGAGGAGGAGGAAGAAGTAGGAGAAGAAGAAGGGGAAAGTGAGAAAGCAGAGAAGAGGAACCTGTTGAAGCGGGCTGGATGCAAAGAAGTGGATCTGCTTGCAGAGGCCATGAAGGAGTTGGGGAGCAGCCTTGATGTGGAGCCCCTTCCTGATGGTGACCAGCTGCCTGCAGAGGCCATGAGGGAGGATGGGGACAGCCTTGGTGTGGAGCCCCTTCCTGCAGAAGTCCAGCTGCATGCAGAGACCTCAGCTTCTCCATCTTCTACACTGCCCTGGTTGGAACAGGAAAACTGGGCACAGGATTTGTATCCCTCTCATTTATCTGCTATTTCACCTAGTCCTTGCCCTGCTTTAACATCTACACCGATCAAATCCAAGTCAACCACTCAACGCTATTCTTTTCTGTTTTCTTCAGCTTCACAGGCAGAAAGGAGGGAGCTGCAAGAGGGGCTACCTGCTGAGGAGCTGCAGAGGATGCACAACATCCGGCCTGCGGAGCAGAGGAAGTCAAGGGATAGACTGAAGACCATGGATGTATGTCCTGTTTTTATGATATTGTTGTTGAACTTCATAACTTTTAATTTTCATGACGTTACTAAAGAATAAGTTGTAAAGAATAAGGTTTAGTCCTTTATTTGTGTTGCTAAATCCTATAATATCTGGTAGTCTGCCAAACTTCATTTTACAGCTTCTTTTGGAAATGTATTTCCAGGCCAAGGTCAACATTGCTGGGCTGTCAGATAGGACCTTACGGCGCAAGATTGCTAAAGCTCCCTTTGACACCACTGCTTCAATCCAAGTGAGTTTCATCAACCTTCTCTCTAATTTGTGAAATTTGGATTTATGTCTAAAATTTTTTGGCGACGCCTCAGGGGCGGAGCCCTTAGTATAGTACTGCGATTGAATTGCCAGGAATTCTAAATATTCCACGCACGCATTCCCTAGGGAATTCATTTTTGGCAACACCTTGCGGGTGAGGTCTTCCCTCCCAGCTGTTTTTCAATGACTTTGGAGCTTTTCCGACAGCTTGGACAGGATTATTGTTTGGAATTGAACAAGGTCAGCATTTGAAGTCAGGTGTTTCAAAGGAGATGTCGTGATTGTCTGAATATAAACCAATATGTTTCCGCGTTTGGTTGTTTTTTTTTTAGTAGTTTTCCTTCTCTTTATGAAAAGTATGTGTTTAGACATAAACCCAACAGATGAATTCAAGTTCTTTTCAATGCAATTTTGTGAGGATAAAGGAAAGACGCAAAGACAAGGCTTTCCCGTTGGTTGTTGTTTTCTCTAGTAGTTTTCCTTCTCTTTATGAAAAGTATGTGTTTGGACATAAACCCAACAGATGAATTCAAGTTCTTTTCAATGCAATTTTGTGAGGATAAAGGAAAGACGCACAGACAAGGCTTTCCGCACACTGGGCACGGGAGACTTTTAAGACAATGACAATGACAATTAAGACGGACTGGCTATGACTATATGGTACTGGCTACGTTAACCCTTTAGTCTTAACTGAGTTATATTTTCCTTCTTGAACTGACGTCCCTTGTCGTAGAAATCCTGTGTCTTTATATTTTGTATTACCACATAACAGTGGTACATCACTTCAGCACACATATTTGTAACCGGAGCAATAACAGGGACTACAACAAGCAATAGACATCTTCCCTCCATGAACGAGGTTGGTGTTGTTAGGGTTCTTTTTATGTTATCGCGTTATATGTGTTCATTGTTAAAACATGACAGCTGGGTTTAAATTTAATTGGACGTTATATGGCCATGAATAATGAGGGAGTTGCTTTGTGTTGGTACAATTTTAATTTTTATAATGTAAGTACCAACCCAGATAAACTTTCAAGCGAGTTTTACAGTGGCCTCCTGTCGGCTTAACAGACTACCAGAAGTGACATGCAGACTATCACCATGAATAGTGGTATTTCCTAATAGCCTGAGAGACATTTGTTTTCCTGGTGGTAGGAGTGCAAGGAGTCAAGTTACGAATGCACAACACCCAAGCTCCCTGTCTAAACCTAACCCCACAGGTCTCAAGTCCTTATCTATGGCAGCAAATAATCAATAAGAAATGCACAGCATACCTTGCAGAATAAGCTACACTACAGATCTACAACCACCAACTATTATGGACACTAAAACACAGAAACTAAAAAAATACCACGAACCAAAGATAATCATAATCAATCCTGCAGAGGTGAGGTCATTGACCTCTCAATCACAACACAACCAAACCGGTTAGGGTACCATTTAAGTCTCACGAACATGCAAATTAGCATCATGCAAATACTATGTAAATAAGATGTGTTAAGCTACGTAGATATCAATGAAGACAATGGGGAAAAAGCGGGAGAACATATTAAGACAACGTAGGAAAACGTGGAAAAAAACAGTAGATCATGGGACAAAGCAGGACATCACAGGAAAAAGCAGGAGATCATAGGAGAGAGCAGGAAAAAGCAGAAAATTGCGGGAGATTGGTGGAGAAAGCAGGAGATTGGTGGAGAAAGCAGGAGATTGGTGGAGAAAGCAGGAGATTGGTGGAGAAAGCAGGAGATTGGTGGAGAAAGCAGGAGATTGGTGGAGAAAGCAGGAGATTACAGGAGATTGCAGGAGATTGGTGGAGAATGCAGGAGAAAGCAGGAGATTGGTGGAGAAAGCAGGAGATTGCAGGAGAAAGCAGGAGATTGGTGGAGAAAGCAGGAGATTACAGGAGATTGCAGGAGATTGGTGGAGAATGCAGGAGAAAG